TGGGAGCTTGTGAAGCTCAAGGCAAGAAGGAGAACAGCACAGCTGGTTTCATCCTTGCCTTTCCCTTCCTATTGGCGTCTAATTAAACACAGTTGTGGAAGCACCGAGCTTCATTTTGGGCTGCAACCGCAGCCATGCCCAGCAGCAAACCTTCCCCAAACTCTGCAGGTGGGAACGAACACATCCCTGGCAATAATGCCAGCAAATGTCTCAGGGAGACTGAGCTGGGAATTGCAGGATGTGGTAGATGTTGGTGCTGAAAGCCTTAACCACACGTCGGATCTCAGGTTTGAGGAGCCTCCTCCAGCCGCAGGTGAAACATCATTATGGTGCCGTGAGTTTGAGGCTAAGCTGAGGACCAGAAGTACTTGTAGCCAGGAAATGAATCCCAAATCGAAAAGATCAATCCTGCTTTTGTGTCTTCGAGAGAGCTTTGCCCTCTCCGATGGCACAAGATCATAGCCTTGTGCCTTTGCTGCAGCAAAGCTCCTCTCTCTTTCTTTTTGAGCAAGATGCACTGTCCCACATTTTTTCTTTGGTGCAGCTCTGCTAATAGCAAAGCACCACGGTAGTGAGAGACTTGAATCATTCCATCCTTACTCATTAATCTTGAAAGTCCCTGTGTGCTGGTGTGCTTTCTCAAGACTGCAGGGTTTTGTTTTACAGCATCCAGTTTTGGAGTGGGCTGTAACTAGGATGGGTGACGGGCTGCCTGGTGGCTGCGCCCGTGTGGTTATGGTGAAGTCGGCTTCATCTGGCATTGCCTACAGCACAAGTAGTCTCTGGGAACCTTCTAGAGGACAGCTGGTGCTTTAGCAATTGCTTCTCCCTGAAATTTGGTTGTTTGTGCTTTTTACATGACAGCAATTTGAATAGGCTTTTATTAAATCTGAAAACCGCCGGTTGATAGCTGGTACCTAGGCTGTAATTACCCAATACGAAGACACGAGCACAAAGTAATTTCCTAGGGAGGTTTCCACAAAAGGGGACGATTCAGATTTCATTTTTTCCAGTCCTTTGAGAAAATCTATAACAGGATGAATGGAGTGAGGAGCGATGATAGTGCAGCGCAGATACAAACCTGATGATCTTCCTCCGATTCTGTCGGGGTTTCCACTCCAGTGACTTCCGTAAAGGCGCGTTGTCAGAAAGAAAAATCACGTTGCTGGGAGCAAGTTGTGCAATCAATCACTGGCCACCGAGAAAGAGGGGGATCAGATGGATTCCCTTTTGAATTCAATCAAAACACTGCAGAGCAACTGGCCTGTCTCTTGACTGAGGTATTTAATCATATATTTGGTGCCTGGCACCCTGTCGCAGGTGCTTAATGAGAGTAGACTTTTGTACTCTCAGAAAAGAGAGGCGAAAAGATAATTACACAAGCTATAAACCCTTTTCACTGTAACTACAGTTTGGGGATAATTGCATTTTCTTTAACTGGCCCTTGATCAGCATGATTTACAGAAAATATGTCTGTTTTCTCTGCTAGAATGGTCAGAAGCCCTGCTTTTCTAACCTGTGGTCCCTGCATCCCCGTGGGCACTGGATTGTAGAGGACTGTGCGAAAGGTGGCAAAGAAAGGCATGTTTTCCTGTGCTCTGCAGCAGTTACATACAAGGGACTTCTGAAAGTCCGTGTGTTGAAAAAGGTGGAAAATTGCATCGCAGGCAGCCTGAGGGACGTGATGAATGTGCTCAGCTCCTCCCAGCGAGGCCAAATTCTTCCCTGTGCAGAAACCTCGTGGTTGTGGCCTCTGATTAGGGTGAGATTGCAATCCACTGTGCCACATGAAAACTCCACTGTTCCCCATCATCCCTACCCTTGAGGAGTCTGCAGTGTGGTGCCAGTGCTTCTTTCCTTTCTTTGTGCCCCTCGCAGCAGCCCTGTGGCCAGATCCAGCCACGTGCTGCTGTCAAGGCTGATGCAGCAAGCACTGTATGGCATGACATGCCTCACCCATTTTTGTGTTTGTAGGTAACATACAGCCCAGTTAGCAGTCCTTTGCTTCCCACAGCCATTTTTGGGTGAATTAGACAAGTTCTTGTCTAATGATTTATTAATTTCCTTGCAATTTCTTTGTCTTTCCACTCTTCTCTGTCCTCTGTGGCTTCCACACCAGGTTTGGTACCTAATGTTTGTCTTGGAGTTCTTCAGAGAAAGGGTCAAACCACTGATGTTTTCTTTCTGGAATAGGCTCAGGGAGTCTATCAACATTCTTCTATGAATCTTTGTGTTTCTTTTTTGTTCAGATCGCTTATATCTATGAATTAATCTAGATATCTTTTTAGAAAGACATCAGAATTTATTTATCTTTTTTCAATTTATTTGTCTTAGGGAAAGAGGAAAAAGGAGGCTGATGTCATCTCAGTCAGGTTTGTTGCTATTTCCAAATGTGTTTTAGGAGAGGAAAAACTCCACGTGTTTTCCCAATTCTGCCTGGTTATCTGAGGAGATAGCTCAGCGCATTGCTGGGGGGAAGCAAAACTGTTTTATCTCTGCAGATGTGAATGCCATTCACTTGTGTGTCTTGTGGCTTTTTTGTTTCCTCTCAGTTTTATCTCCAGCCCAGCTCTTTTAGGTAACTCTTCTGGGTTTTGCAGTCTCAGACCCATAAGGCAGACAGTGTTTGTGAGATGTCGGTGTCCATTTTGTCCTTTTCTTTCCTTTCCTGCTTGTTTCTCAGCAGCAGGACAATGGCAGAGGAGATGACAAGGAAAGAAAACACTGCCGTGGCTCGTGCCTGTCTATGCTGCAGATGTTTGAGGTAGATTATGGTAAATTGATCAAGCTCACGCTCAAATCCATTATAAAATGTGTTCATTTCCAGATGGCATTGTTCTCTTTGGTCTCTGATGCTTTTTTGAAGTGCATGCGCAGGATCGATTGCAGCTCGATACCCAGCTCAGTGCTGTGACATTTAGCATTCGTGTTGCTGGCTGGGGTGAACGTCGCCTCTTTCTTCCTTCCCAGCACTGCTCTCAGCAGGCATCGCCGTCGTGTAGGCGGCAGTGCAGCATCCTTCTGGTCCCACAACTGTGAAAAAGCCCTTTCCTTCAGGAATTCAACAACCCATCTTGCATCTGCTCGCTGATGTGCCATCCGTATCCCAAAGCATTCATGTAGGGTCTAACCTCATTTGGTCTTTCCCACCTCAGCTGGAACACACCCCAGCCAGCTCGATTTTCTGGATGTTTTAAGGTTTTATGGTGCTCTCTGTTTCTTTTTGACCTCTCGGTAAGGCTTGCAGTACTGTTGGCATCAGACTGGAGACCAGGTGGAATTTGTCTGGAGTCTCTTCTGATTGTTCCCTATTTAAAACAGTTTCCATTGTTTGTAATGATACAGGATTTTGTAATTTTGGGCTGTATTACTAACACAAATTGGAAAAGTGTACTTTAGTTCGGACTGGAATTGGAATGTTGATGGTTAAATAGAGTTTGCAATGCCTGCCTTTAAATCCATGCTTACAAAAGAAGGTAAGGAGTACCTGAATAGGTCAGGTTGATGTGCCATCTAGTTCAGTATTTTGTGCTGGGTAGTGGCAAGATACCACACAGGGGCAACACACAAGTCTGGCTGCTTTCTGCAATTCATTTCCAGTACCCCTAAGTGCTGTATTTCTAGGAAAAGAAAGTTCTGTCAGAGCCTGGCATCTGCAGTAACTTACACAAGGAAGTCATTACAAGTCTGCCAATGAATTAGGTAACCACCCGATGCAGTCCAGAAGAGCAGCCCTCTGCGCTCTTTATGAAATAGTGCTTTTTTAAAAATCACTTTGTAGACACTTTTAACTCCTTACTTGCTGGGAAACCACGAGGAAGAACAAATGGAAAACATAAAGCTGGTGGAAATCAATTCAACTGATCGGGGAGTGTGTGTGTGCAAATGCCGTTCTTACAAAGGTCTGAGAGGGAGCAGCATTTGATGAGAGCTTTTGGTTCCCCGATCCCTGCGTTGCCCTAAGTTGGTCATGTCAGCTGTCCATCTGACCCTGCCCCATGCCGCAGGCTGGCGGTGGGGACCGTGGGGCATCCCTGTGGCCTCGGCCCCTGCGACAATCTTTGCCTTCCACGCTTCTGTCACAATATTGACTTGCAAACATACAGCTTTTTGCCAGTTTCTATGGTTACCTCTCAGCTACCAGCATCTGAGCTGCAGAAACGAGAACCAAGCAATACATTTTGAGCCGTAATGAAATGCACAGCAGTGTGTTAAACTTTTAAACCCAACACGAATATCACCAAGCAACATCCATTCGTGATTTGCCATAATTACTGCTGCAAGCTCCATACGATTGAAACACCGGAGCACAATCCTCTCCCTTCCACTGCATCAAATAGTTTTTTCTGCCAGTAGCTTCACAGCATCTCAGACCTGTGATGTTTCATACTCCCTTCACAGTTTCAAAGAACCAAGCCTGACCTCTCTAAATTATTCACACCTCGAGAATGACAACATCTCCAAAGTCTCCTTTTGTGTGTGGTGCCTATTTCCTTCTCATTCACTCCCAGAAATTTATGTTAAAGAAGTTTGATTCTTCTGCCCTACTTCTGAAATGTGAATCTAACTCATTTCCCCAAGCTGCTTCTTGCGTATTTGGAAAAACCAATCCCATCAGACTGGCGTTAGTGCTAAATTAAAATGTGTGCATAGCCAACGTGTTGCTGCTCGGTGCTGCTTGCTCCTGTAGCTGCACCAGAAGGAGCAGATGCCTCAAGCCTTTTGAGGTGGTACTTCTCTGTTTTCTGCTAAGAGACCTCATTTAGTGTCTCTGTCTCTAACAACACGTTTTACACATCAGCTTGAGAACTAAAATGAAACTGGACATGGGTTGTATGTCCAGGCTCCAGGTTTCAAGTCAGAAGTTTAATTGCACCGACGGGTGCAGTTGCTGTTCTCAAATTAGTTGTGTTGTGCTTGCAGACCAGGCAGTTCAGAATCCCTCTCGTGCTTTGCCCAGGTTCCCTGCTGATCAATCTCATTTTGTATTTTACATGCAGTGCCGGAGTTACCCGTTATAGAGAGGAGAAACTGGTACATCTATCTGCTGTACGTTCGCAGAGACTACGACGAGTGTAAGGTAAGAGCTGCTGCTGAGATTTTGCATGAGGAAGTACTTAACTGCTGTTGTCAAATGGTGGTTTTCATGCCTGGCCTAGCTGTGCTGTGGACAGGGGAGGTGCAGAGCTGTGGCCTTCCAGGTTTGCCAGATCACCTGCTGTGCCACAGGGTCGTTAGGACCCCTCTTTTCCCCATAAACCAGTACATCACCAACGTAATATCCCGACTTTGAGGTAAGGCTGAGCCTTAGTCACCCTCCTTCCTGACTTCTCTTGGAATCAGGGGACCAAAAGAAAGTAGAACTAAGACAAGGATCAAAACAGCTTTAATTTTATTAAATCCTCAGCTACAGTCAGGATTCATATGTGCAGTTCTCTAGAGTGCTCCATAAACTCACCATACGTTTGGAAGTGGTAAAAATGAAAGGATTGCAAGCTTCTCTTGTTCCAGGTGATACACGGGGTCTTCCACACTGATTATAATGCAGTTCGATAGTGCAGGTCTCTCAAGGATACTACAGAGCTGCTACAAAAGCACTTCAATCGAGTAATACATTTCTACCAAGTCTAAAAATACATCTTGGCTATCCTTGAATGATATTCTTTCATTTTGCTTGTGACACGCTGCACCTTTTGATTTCTCGTCAGTTTGGTGGGTATCATGGAAGTGGTTGTTTGATTTGGGATTTAACAGTAAGTGGACTAAGGAAATGCCAAGTTTATTAACCAGTGTGTTTTCCTGACACGCTGAAGATGATGTGACAGTGGCAGGAGGAGGGGTGTAAGAGTAGCCTTTCTGTTTTTGTAATGTGCAAAGAAGATCTGAAAATAGTTTTTCCCTCCTGAAACACCACGATCAGCCAGGACTTGTCTCTCTCTGTTGGAGAACTCCTGGGGGTGCTTAAGAAACGGGTAGGCCAGAGGAAATTCATTTAGCTCTTAATTAGCGGAGCTGGAGGGCTCTATCATCAGCGAATGATTTCCTCTCAGATCTTGGTTTAAACAGATCTAAGCAGAGGCTGGACTAGTAATCTAAATAGAAAATTGCTTCCCTTTTCCGTTGATCTGACTGCATTTCGTTGGTCTCCTGTTTTGTACGTTTGCCAGTTCCATGGCAGGCTGTAGACTCGTGGAGTGCAGAGACGTTCAGCTCAGGAAAACAGAAAGTAGCCCTGTGGATGGTGTGTGAAGGGAGCATTGACTTCTGCAATTTGTCTTTAGTCACTGAAGGAAGTAAAAGATGGGGAAAAATGTAGAGAAGACAGCTAATAACGTTTCCTGTGGCAGACCAGTTTTGCTTTAGCTGTCAGCGCCTTCCTCCTGGCTCACAGAACCATGTTTTTGTGGTTACATTGGGAGAGTTTGGCACCGGACAGTAGTTGGTTAAATAATCTTCCATCTATCCTCTCAGATGTGATGAATGTGTGCTCAGAGGCCTGGATTTGTCCCAAAGAAGATAAGAACATCAGCATGCCAGGATCCTTCTGCAGTCTCTGAACCATAGCCATGTCCAAAAGGCAATGCAGATCCTAGGTGCACTGAACTGCCCTCCGGTAGCCTCTGGCTCTCTCTGCTGGTGCTCGGTGGGGTTACAGGTCTACATAGGATGCCCCAGCTGCCTGCCTTTACACGCCGTGAGCATGAGCACAGGCAGCCCCAAACATGCTATTCAGGGCCAATACCTTCAAAAATGAAAGGTGGCATCGTTAATCCTGATGACTAAAATGGCTTTAAACTCACTGATTTCAGTACAGTTTGGGCATTCATTAATGCCCATCAGTTTTCTTTTAAGACTCAGCTAATAAACAAATGACCTCTGATGCTATTAATTTTGGCCTGGTCTTGTTAGACTCTTTCCCACTCAGTGCCTTGAGATGCCTCCTCTCCAGCGCAACTGTAGAAGCTCCCCTATTTGTCAGCGGTGTAAAAGCCCAAGGAAAAAATATTTCCTAACATTGACTCCCTAAAATCCAAGCATTAAATTGGCTTTAACCCTTACAGGGCCGCTCTTGCACCTATTCTGGCGTTGCCAAGCTTCTGACAAATGCTGCTGCTTATTACAGCGCGAGATGGATAACTCCGCCTGCTTGATTCCACTACCCAGCAAGGCACAAGGCAAACATCCCCTGGAGCCAGAGGCAGCAGCAGCCCTGCTATTGCAGTGCAGGCAGAGTGGATCTGGGGGGTGGCGAGGGGGGAGCGCAGGGACGGGCCCTGCTAAGCAGTCGTCATCACTCAGCTCTTGCTCTTCACATAGGCAGCTCATAAAGTGTGTGTTCTGCTTGCAGCAGCAACTCCAGCTCTTCCCCCTAACCGTTTTTCACAACAGAAATCTTCTGTTATGTGTGAGGGAAGGATTATTAAAATTACCAGATGCTTTTAATTAATTAAAATCACTCATGTTGGTTGGTCTCCTGCCAATACGTCTAAATTCTGTCAGCAAGTTAAATAAACTTGGGAGGAAACGCTGGGATTACAGATCATATTTCTCAGCTCAAGGCCTTTCACTATGGGATTTTTAGGGCTTAAGGAATTAATCAGATCTCTAAAAAAGATAGCTCTATTGCCTGCTCTTGCTCTGAGACTGGTTTTATGTAGACGGGGCAGTGTTGCATACCTGTGTTCAGAAATGCTTGTTTGTGTCTGAGCTGAAAGTCCGATGATAAAGTACTTGGTTAAGACTAAAATGTAGGCTTGTGGAAGGTCTCTGGTCGGGAGATCAGAGGGTATTATGTCCAAGGGGAAGAGCAGCCTGCATTTGTTCTTTCTTTTCCTTCCTTTGTTTAATTTTCTTTCTGTCAGTGAGGTTTCTCAATAATAACTCTCCTTGCCTTCACCCCGCTTTCCATCATTCCATGTGCTATGTTTGAGGTTCAATTTTCCTCCTTGCTTTCTGGGCCTTTCATTTCTATTCGTCTCGGAGGCAGGGGATAGTGGTACTGATCACACACTAGACAGAAGTACCAGATGAGCGTCAGGTTATTGCTAGCCCAGAAATCCTCCTTTCTTTCCCCTCTTTGTCTTCTATGTCAGAGCAAAGGAGGAACCTCAAAGAGAGCAGAAACAGAACGTTTGCTTCATAGTCAGTTTGCATCCTGCCCAGAATCACTCATTTTGGCTACTTTTATAATTTCAGGTCATGTGTGACTATGGAATATAGCCAAACTGCACCCGCACCCTAAGCTGTCAGCTGCAGGAGTGCATCCAACAATAATTTACATTTTCCTCAGTTTTCTTCCTTCCTTTCCCCATGTACTCATCATTTGTTCATTTGACTTTCACTGACTCAGCTGCAGTTGCTCCAATTCAATTTATTTCTTCACAAAGGGCCTAGAGTAGATACCCTTATCAGCAGAGGATGCTTTCATAGATTTCTTGTGGCGTTTTCCCCAGGTAATATCTAATTATCTTTGGTAATGGGAACGAACAGAGAAACACTGAACGGCTGTGGTATTCCTGGCACCGTGCTCTCACAAACAATGATGAATTTGCACTCTTCCATGCGCTCTTGTAGTTGTCCCAAATGCAATCCAGTGCCTGTCCTATATGTGCAGTTGTGGTTTATGTAGCTGAAACAAAATCTCTTTCACAAGTTTTGTTAAAATGTTGAAAGTTGACCACTTTTTTAGAGTTGTAATACAGCATATTGCAAAAACTAGCTGCAAATTCTGTCTTAATACTGACTTTTCCATGCACAAAATATGGTTCTGTGAATGTTGCGTTTGTCGTGTCCTATGTGATGCCACAGTTACTGTCACAAAAGGAAGCACCGTGTCTGACAACATGTTGCGTGATGTTTTAATTCAAGGTATTTCGGGGCACTCTGCTGTGCGCCCAGATACAGCACAGCTATATGTGGCACGTGCAAAAAGGTTCTCCAAATCAAAGTCACAGGAGGCATTTGGTTGGTCAGAATCATTTTTCTTTCGTAGAGGTTGCCTTTATTAAAAAATGTGAAGGGTTTATATTCGTTTGAAAACTGTCATGCTACGGTTTGGAAAGGGGGTGATGGTGGCCCAGTAAATGGGCTTCTCAGAGACAGGGATTACATTTACCCTGTGGTCTTTGCACTTCCTCGTTTCAGGCTGTCATCAAAGAGCAGCTCCAGGAGTCTCATGGAAGGTGTGAATATGCTGTCTACGTTCAAGGTATGTCACATGAGGCCTCTGAAAGTCTTAATATTGCTAAAGCCAGTTCCTTTTGATACAAGATACAGTGAACAAATGGGGACAAAAGAAGGAAACGGGTATAAAATTCATATGTAAGTATATTTGGCTTTTTTTCTACCTACCTTCTAGTGTTGAAATTTGGGATTATCACATGGACAGAGATAAGATGTTCTGTTTTCTCTTCACTGATGAGTTTGTCGTCAGTTCCTTTTTGGACTCGTGGCTCTTGGCCTTCGATGTGCTGGTGTTCGATTGGGTCGTGTTTGATCGTGTGCTGTGAAATGTATTGTGGATGTTTGTTTGTCAGAGCTACGTGCCTCTGGTGGCTGTTGTCTTGCCTCTGGCTCTAAGAGTGGTCTTCCTCTGCCTTCTCACAAACGTCCCCCAGACCTTGGTGTTGAAATTCAGAGGGCTGTGTGTCACCGTGGCAGATGACTGGACTGGGGGACAGCTGAGATTTCTTGGCCAAGGGCTTATGGCAGCCTGTAGGAGGAGGGGAGAAATCCAGACTGCACTGTAATGAACAGTTGGCCAGGGTTTCAAGATGCCTGTACCATAAAGAACAGATTTTTTTCCCAAACAAGCATGGGTCCTTTGCATGTATTTTCATTCTGTCCTCGCACACAGCTTCTGCTGGGGTTGCTGCAGGAGGAGAAAGACCAAACAAGTACTGCTATAATGTATCTGTACGCCCTGTTAGCTCCCTGCTGTCAGAGGTACCTTTTTCCTGCAGATAATGGACTAATTTGCCTGGTATATGTTGTCTTGCAGCTTTGATATTTCGCTTGGAGGGGAAAATTCAAGAATCTCTTGAACTCTTTCAGACATGTTCCATTCTGAACCCTCGAAGTGCTGACAACCTCAAGCAGGTGGCACGATCGCTGTGAGTGGTGTTTTTATTGTTTCACTTTGATGTGCTACCCAGGACCTTCCAGGTTTTGTTTTTCTCCCAGGCATCAAGTGGAATCTCTGGCTGCTTAATTCCAAGCATGCTTCCTCCTTATCAACACTTGAGATGCTTTCCAGAAGCGTGGGCTACCCTTTAAAGCACATTCTCTGTTACATGCTTGGCTGCTATTGTGTTGTGTGTTTTTTTTTCTGTATTTTTTTTCATTTGTGTTTGTGCTTTAAGTGAGAGAAGTAGCACACAGATTTCCAGGTCCAGAGCTAAAGCAGCAGCCTTGGGCAGTGTAAACTTGCCCTGCAGACCCCTTTCTGTCTCTGAGTGTCCAGTCTGCTTTTGATCACCCGTGCTTTTCCTTTGAGACAAAGGCAGATGACAGAGCCTGTGGATTCATTCCTTGCATCTCCAATAATGTAAGGGAGTGCAGAATTAATGACCTTGGTCCTGAAAGGGAGCAGTGCTGACATATTGCTCAGATTGGAAACTTCTCAGGGCTTCTCAGGCAGGTCTCTGGAGAACTAGCAAATAGCATCATTTCTCACTGGCAAAGGTGATAGTGGTTGCACAGCAGGGTTTCAAAGCAAGAAAAAATAAAAATTGAAATGCTTTCACAGGTTTCTTTTGGGGAAACACAAGGCAGCCATTGAAGTGTACAACGAAGCAGCTAAACTCGATGAAAAGGACTGGGTGAGTGTTGTGTTGATTTGGAGATTACTGTGCTGTGCAGATGTTTCTGCAGTTTTATGGAGACAGCTGCAGACGTGTTCCAGGCAGAGGTGAGCTCATGCTGCCTGCAGTGTGAGCTGCAGGGCTGAGAGGCAGAATAATGATGCTGATGAGGCTCAGCAGCCGCTGGTTTGGATCGCAGGAGCAAGGCATGATCTCAGCCTGCAGTCCCACACCTTGTCTTGGGGCACAAGCAGCAGAGAATCTAGCAACGTGTGTTTGAGCTTTGCAAAGTACCAGTATCAACACAGCCATATATAGTACAAAGAGCTAAATGACATTAAGGACGGTATGGGAGGTGCCTCCTTTGGTCATCATTAAACCCTCATTATCACTAAAACTTGCTTCAGTAATTGGGAATCCTTTCATAATGCAAAACACCATTGAAAAAGATCGCCCTCAAATTAGCTGAAAAGGTTACTTCTTATCTACCAAGCATTATTTACTTGGACAAAATGTAGGCTGATATCTACAGAAGCAATAATAAATTAGCTCTTTCCTCTTAAGAGGAAAAGAAGGAAGGAAGAACACTGCAAAGGGAGATGTGTGACAGGAGGTGAGAAAAGAGAGGACGCGGCTTGCAGTTAGCTGTGGACAGCCTTCTGCAGGTGGCCGTTTTGCCTGCAGAAGTGTTGTTCCTAAGACAGACTCGCCACATGTGATCTTTTTTGCTAAGACATGATGCACTTGCTGACTTTAGCTGTACTTTTGGTGCTCAGTGTGTCTAATATTGAGGCTTGATACCAGAATACATTTGACGTTACTCTCATCAACTCATTAGTGCCAAACAACTCAGAAACCTTTTATGCTGGGGATCGTCCCTTAGCTAACCAAGCTACCTGCAGTATGTGCTTGGCATGACTATGACCCTATTTACAGCCACAGCAGGCAGACTTCAGTGGGCATTTTGATCAGTTATTTCCCGTACCTGGCTCAGCACTGGCAGCAGCCTGTGCTCTTTGCTTGTGCTGCCTCATTCTGCAAGCCGCAGTGACCAGGAGTAGCTCTTTGATTCATTACTGTTCTCCACAGTTGGAGAGACACATCGAGGAAAGTATCATTGTGAGGGTAAATAAGAGAGTTTCCTCTCAAAGGTCAAGGCTGTCTAAACTGATGAAGCAGTGAAATGCTTACCAGAATAGAAACGAGGAACTTGTGGACCTTGCTTTTCAGCTCCGCGGGATGTGCCAGGGCGAGGAAGATGACAAGTAGCTTGGCTGTTACACTGTTGGCGATGAATTAGAGGCATGATTGTTCCCTATGGTGGCACTAGAGTGTTTAGGATGCCAAAGTGATCTTCCTACTGTGTTGCAAACGTGTTTCAGTTGCCAGAGATCCTGGATATCAGCCCTTCTGGTGCTTGACTTCTTTTTTGGAAAGTTAGAAGCATCTTTAAATTTTGTCCAGCTGGATGCAGTGTTGTGTGTGTCTTTGTGATTGTACAGGTAGACGGAGAGCCACCCATGAGGGCAATGGGTGTTAGCTTCAGGGATCTCACTGGGAACTGAGTCACATGAAGAAAACAGTCTTTGCTCCGTATTCTCCAAAGAGACCATTGTCATTTCTGTGCTTTAGTCCCTCTGGACTGTAGGCTTTCCCGTTCTGTCAAAGTTTAGCTCTGTAGGTTCCTGGAGAAACTGGAATTCATAGGTTTATTTGAACTAAAGCAAGAAGGGTATGGGCTGGGAGTCTCCCTGTCCATGTCAGCGATGACTGTTGTCACTGGTAAATTACGTATCGTATCTCAAACTTCTTGCTGATTGGGTTTTGTTTTGCTTTGTCTCATACAGGAGATCAGCCACAACCTGGGGGTGTGCTACATGTACCTGAAACATTTCAACAAGGTAATGCAAATGCTCATCTCACCTACCTGACAGATGGGAAGCAGGGATCCTAGAAATTTCACACTCTGGGGGTTTGAGGTGGACCCTTTGCAATGCTGGGTATCAAGGAAGCTTTTTGCTTCGGTGTTCATTTCTGGGAGCAAAAGTTCATGAGCCGTGTCTGTTCTCATTTGCATGTTGAATTATTTTGAGTCAGCTGAAAGTTTGTGAACTTGGATAAGAGTGAAACTGAGCTTAGCCTTGTTGCTGGCCAGGAGGCTTTTCCTGAACTAGAATTTTTCAGAGAGCATTTCTGTTCTTAAAAGGAATGTTTGAGGAACCTCAAAGAGCTGCCTCAAACGAGACAGAAAACCAGCTGTGCTCCATCAAGAGCTGCATCTGTTTCAGAGCCTTTTAAAACCACTGTGGTAAACATTGCAGGTTTTGTGAGGAGCAGCAAACCACTGAGCATGCCAATTTCATCTTCTTGCAGCAAGAGAAGTGTGATGGTTAAGACCCAAGCTGTTTCCCCAGCATAAAGCTCAAACTGCTGCATCTTGTGAATAGTCTCATTGATCTGAAGGAAAACCTGCTTCCCCTTGTCTCTGGCAGGATCCAGGAAAACACAGCACTTAGTCTTTGTTCCCAGTTTGGCCCAATTGCTCCCTGCTGCTCTTTCTGGTGGAATGCTGTGGTCCTTGCAGGCAAAACCCCGCTGCGTTCCCTGTTGGAGACATTGCTGTAAAGCAGGATGCTGTGGAGCATAGGTTCATCAACGGGATTTGTTATCTGCACTAGCAGTTTCCATACTGGGACCTGCTAACCTGCCAGCTTTCCCATAACTGAGACATATTGGTCACCCTGGGCAGCAGTGTGTGCTGAATAATTCCTGGGGGACATCTAAAACACAACGAAGCCCATGGGGATGGCTGTCTTTTCAGTAGTTGTTGGTAACATAGTGCAGAATTCCTTTAACCCGTCAGCATTTCTCTTTCTAATATATGGTGTGTCCAGAAACAGCAAATGTTCTTTGCAGTCCTGCTGGCTAGGCCTGAGGAGGTAAGAGGAGGACATGTTGCAAAGCGTCTCCTGTTGGAGGGGATCGGTGTGTGCCTGACAAGGGCTGATTCATTCCCCTGGTTTACTTGGCAATCCCTGCTTGCTGCTGGAGTAAGCATTTTAGCGAGGAATAAACTGCAACGTACCTGTTAACCTCACAGGGCTGAGGCTTCCCTTAAAGCAAACAAATTCAAGCACAGGAACAGGCCTGTGCTCCTCTCTTCCTCGTGAGGTTGTTGCCTCTTGGCTTGGAGCATACTGCTTCCCTTTTTTTCTGTCCCAGAAAGCTCATGGCCCCCAATGCAGAACTTGTTTCAACAATTAGCTGGGCTGGGCTTTGCTAGCAGGGCTCTCCGAGCTCAGGGGGTGCTAGCTGTTCCCTTTCCCTAGCTGCTGTGGATTGCTCTTGGGCTGTTGCTTCACCGAGGAATGATCACTGATTATTTTTTATTCTCTGTGGTTGTGTGTTTAGGCACGAGACCAGCTAAACAATGCCCTGGAGCTCAACAGACATGATCAGACTTACAAGATGCTGGGAAAAATTCACCTTTTGGAGGGGGAGACTGATAAAGCCATTGAAGTCTATAAGAAAGCTATAGAGTAAGAATATATATATATTTTTTTCTTTTTTTTTCTGTCAATGTTCCATCCTATGCCAGGATTAATTTGATGGGTGTCCCAGATCTGAATTGAGGACACAGTTAAAAAGCTAATGGTAATTACAGTGTCTCTGTGCAAAGCAAGCACTTTGCAAGCTCTTCAGCTGTCTCTGCTCTCAGCTGTAGTCCTCCTCCTGCTGACAACATGTCAGGGAAGAAGGTAGCTGTTTGAAGGTCTGCCAAGAAACAGTGGAAAACAAATGGACAGAAATGCCTCGGAGCAAACATATCCCAAATGGACTTAATAAATCCCAAAGGTTTTTCTACCAACAAGATCTAACCCTGGCTGTCTCTCTAACCCCGACTGTCTGTCAAAACTCAGTTGCTGGGTTTCTCATGGAGTGATTTGCGTTTGAAGGAGTGTGAGTAGGCAGACTGGAGATGGGCTGGTGCATGGTGAGTTTCTCCCACCCTGTCACCATTTCTGAGTACCAGTCTGTCTTTTTTAGGACGTTCCTGAGTGTCTGATTTACCGGTGCTTTTAAAAATGTAGGCAAAAGACTAAAGGAAAGCAGGAGCATGTCAGAAACCACTGGAGGATCTGCATTTTGTACTAGCTGTTTTTCCTTCTTACACATCTGCTTTTGGCTGCTCTCTGGCAGTATATTGGGTCGGGTAGACATTTGGATTAAGCTAGAATGTTTATTACATAAATAATCCTTGCTAAGCATTTTAGCAGGTTTATACTGGTTATCTTGCTGCCCCCCTCCCCTCCCTTCTTCCTCACTCCTGCTTTTTTCTTTTTGTTCTCATCTGCCCGCTGCATTTAGCTTGCTGTTACCAGCTGTAGGTTAGTCTGTCGCTGCTCTCTGTTTATCTTCCAGCTGCAGGTTAGTCTGTCACTGCTTTCTGTTTATCTTCCACCAGGCACACAGGTTTTGCTCCAGTTGAGATTTAAATGTGCCTGTGTGATTGTACATACTAGATTTCTTAAGACTTGATAGCAGTGACTTGAAAATTCACTTCTGTTAAGTGAGGCCACAAACATACAGTGTCCCTTTCTACTTTGTTGTTGTTTTTTTTTTTTAATGCTATTTATTTCTTCAAAACCTCCTGGGAATGGGGATGCTTTTAAAAATGTTCATGACATTGCTGCCTGAACCCCAAATTAGCCATGAGGGTTTGGGAGTTGCATGCAGTAACTGAAAACACTAAGGGCGTCCTTTTTGAAGCCTTACTGTGCTAAACAGTGGTGTATATTGTCCGAGGTGTGTTAACTACTAGAGCAGTGCCTGTGGATTGCAGTGTACCACAAGGCAGTCCACAGCTCGTAATCTTTTTGTAGAGTAGTGAATGGCGAGTCTGATGATGAATGTGTGGGATCCATCAGAAACGCTGAGGTTTGTCTGTCACACGTGGCCCCAGAAGCTGGGGAGGGATTTACAGGATCATTTATGGGAGACAGGAGAACCCCATTTTCTATTTCCAGGTCACTCATGCAGGCTCACTGTGAAGTTTAATAAAACCACATCCTCTTACCATGCTTCCAGACCTGTTTCAAAGAAGCTACCTTCAGTTCTTACTAGTATCTGTAAGGCATTTTGAAATCTTAGATGTATTATTGTTCAAAGGAAGTCCCCATGATGGTAACTGTTCCAATATTTGCGTATTATTAATAATAACAGTTAATTTCCTAGTGTGACACTAGGGCAGTGTAGCATAGCGATGCCATGTTCTGTATTTACCTTGTTCTAGAGGGGCCAATTCACAATGCAGCTCTCTGGCTTTTGTGTTACAGGTTCTCTCCAGAAAATACAGACCTCCTTACAAAACTGGGTTTAATTTACTTGCAGGTACTGAAAACTTCCCATATCTATTACATGAACTTACTTATTTACAAAACAACCAAGACTGTTTTATAGAGTTAATTTCTATCCATCCTTATGTGACTACCCTGCGTTTCTGTAAGGACTGTATTTATCACGACAGAGCTTGCTTTTCTCTCCTTTTCTTCTTTACTTTTGCTGCTAACAGTAAGTTGATCCTGGATCTGAGCCAGAGCAGGAATTCTGTCTGGCAGCTGCCCTAATTCTGTTATAAATCCTCTAAGTACAGTAAAACATGACTAGTCATTACCTTACTTCTGGAGCTGGAGTCCAGCAAGTTAATCTACAACAAAAGCAGCCATGAAAGCAGCATTAATGCACCATAGAAGAAAATCATTGATTTAAATAACAAAAGCATACTTATCACTTATCTGTGAAATGTATGGGCAGGACCATCTGATTATTCCAAAAGTAAGCTACCCAAGGAGCAAGCGGGCAAAGAAGAGCTGGCAGTATCAATCCTGGCAGGATTGATGGGCTAGAAAACTTGCACTGAGTGCTAATTCAGAAAGCTCCTTAAGCATTTCCCTATCTATTTAGATGCTCGAGAATAAGGTGTAGATCTTCATAAACATTGTCTTACAATGGAAATAGGGAAATTGGGATGGAACAGTGCTCAGCATAATCCATTTTTAGGATTTGTTTTGTAAATCATCAAACAGGAATGTGTGTGTAAGTTAGTAAGTGGAAGCTCTGCAAAAATCACTTTTCTGAGTCCTTTTTTTAGCTGAACAGAAATTTGGGTGTCCATAAAGCCTATGTTTTCCTTTCCTATTCCTGATTTTCTGATACTCATTTACTTCTTTTCCCAGCTTGGGGATTACCAGAAGGCTTTTGAACACCTTGGAAAGGCACTTACTTATGACCAAGGCAACTACAAGGTATCAGCAGGAGTGGAAATGAACCAGCTGACCTCTTGAAACTAATTCCAGTATCAAAGCTTTGCTGTCTGTATCATTGAGAGGCTAAAAAGGATTATGCTCCAGAAAACTTTTTCCAAAATACATTTCTGGGACCTTTCCCTGGAGAGGAAACTGGATGTGTGTGGAAGCAGAGAAAGGGAACTGGGCAGAATATGTGGTGTTAAATGCATCCCTTGTTTTTTAATTTGAAGTTGCACCTAGTTTAACAAACTGAATTTGCTTTGCAATGGAAGTCTTCCAGACGTTGTTTTAAAAATCCCAAGACCTGTGCCTGGGCCACTGTGATTCCTAGGCATGGAGCACAGGCCCAAGTGATGTCCCATTACATTATTCTCCCATCTGCTAATAATCCTCTGTGTTTCCAGCTGTTACATACAAGTGTGACTTTTCCTTGGCTCCAGTCCGGAAAGCTGAGCTTGGCATCTAGGTTTCATTTCTGGTTGTGGAACTGCTTCCCTTTTTAAACATGTTACTTCATTTCTTGCTGCCTCCTTTGGTACGATGTTAGCAAAGTAGAATATTGAAATGCATGGTTGACAACTGATACATGAATGCAAGCCAAATGTTATTGTGAAAACACCTTTACACTTACAAATTTTACTTGTCACCATGAAGTATCATAAATGACTTAACTAGCTTAGTGTGGTTTAAATATATATGTGTTGCAGCCACTTGCCTTTTTTCCCCCAATGCATATTTCCATTAATTTGCAGTATCAACTAGTTGGTGTGAACTAGGCTGCTTTGTCTCGCTTGTGTTTTTTACTCTCCAGATAACTTACACCAGAACTGTTTCTATCAGTACTTGCTGGTAAAAAGAAAGTAGTAGTGCATAGATCTTCTCAGACACCTGGGCTGTAGAAGATATGCTATCAACCCAAAACATACCCTAAGCACTTTTCACATTACAGGATTTCAGAGACTGCTATGATTGAGATAGGGCAGGAAAAGGTGGACTCAAGTCCCTCTTTACCCTGTCTTCACTGTATGCTGAGAGGTTCTGGAGGTTCATCTGCTCCTCACTGTTGGTGTTGGAAGCCCCTAGAAGAAAACAACTGAAAAAGTTAAATGGTTGTTTTTGAGATGGCTTTAGCTTAACAACTTTATCATCTCATCATGTTTGGGAAACGCAGTTCCTCAGCTGGTTGCTCTCCTCTTCTCTCAAAGGCCACCTTGGCGGCTGGCAGCCTGATGCAGACCCATGGAGACTTTGATGTTGCCCTCTCCAAATACAGGGTGGTGGCCAGCACCATGCCTGAAAGTCCCCCGCTGTGGAACAATATTGGGATGTGCTTCTTCGGCAAGAAGAAATACGTTGCAGTAAGTATCTTGTTTCCTTACTTTTTTTCACTTTTTTTTGTGTTTTCAATTTTATGGAAGAACACGAGTCCTGTTGTGGCAGAGACAGGAGGTCTGCTTGGGTGGGCTGCATTACAGCATGCTTATTCCTTTTTGAAGGCTATCAGCTGCTTGAAGCGGGCAAACTACCTGGCTCCCTTTGACTGGAAGATCCTGTACAATTTGGGCTTAGTGCACCTGACGATGCAGCAGTACGCATCAGCTTTCCACTTCCTCAGTGCTGCCATCAATTTCCAGCCCAAGATGGGAGAGCTGTACATGCTCCTTGCAGGTATGTTACACGCCGTTATGCAGCTCTGGTGTATATCCAGCTTAGGAGATGCAGCGTTTTGGAGAGGGAAAGTTTGGCCTTAAGGAAAAAAACATTGGACAAAGGCTATACCAAATTCCCCAGCAGGTCACCGGTGGGTGTAAAGCCTGAATAGTCTGTTCTCTCTCAGTAGTGAACAGAAAGGTTAAATTGCAGTTAGATCCAGGTTACACATTTGAAGAAAAAAAAAAAAAATACAAAACCAAACACTTTTTACCTTTAAGAGTTTGGGTTTGTGTTGCCTAGAGGGTGTTCATGTCCAGCACTGGTAATTTTTGTGATTTGGTGAGATGAGTAGTTATAAGAAGGGACATTAGAAGAGTTAATCCTCACCTGCACTGGGGGCAGTAATGCAGACAACCCTGCTAGCACCTATTTATTTCATGATTTAATGACAGTCAGAAGTATCCCAAAAGTAAAGTCCTCGTGAAGTATCATTTTCTGTGTGTACCTTTTCCTTTGGTACAGTTGCTCTGACAAACCTTGAAGACATTGAGAATGCAAAACGTTCCTATGAGCAAGCTGTGGCATTGGACAAGTAAGTCTTAATCACATCTTTTAGCTCTTTGATCACGCTGCTTTTCCTCCCTGCACCTGGTTTCCTTCACATGCTTTGTTGCTCTGACTACTCTGACCCAAGACGGTTTTCATTAGGGAAATATTTTTATTCCTGAAGCAATGCAAATCAGTTTGAAAACCACTTGTTTTTTTTCCATTCAGGTCAGCTCTGAAAAATGAAAGAAATTTTGTTTGAGACCAAACCAAAGCTGATTTTTATTTTGCTGTTTATTTAGTGAGTCAGTGATGATGGCTTTGGATTCCAGTCCTCCTTTATTTACACACAATGGAGCAGATTCAATAGAAGGAAACCAGCCATCCCAGAATATTTTGTAACCCAAAGTTCAAGCACTGGCGAGAGCACTGAGAGGCTTGGGTTAAAGCCTGTTCTGAACTGGTCAGAGGGAAGATTTTAGCTGGGAAAATGTGGGCAAGAAGCTAATATAAAGCATATAAAGGACAGTGGTGCAGCTCTTTCTCCTCCATTTTCTTAGCAATGCCGGTGTTTGCAATCTAGCTCTTAAAATCAGAGCACTTGCTTTCAGAAATGTTAAAGTGAGCCTTTCAGTGGTAAAGATAGTCATTTGCGTCATTTCAGGCAGAAAAAACAGATTTGTCTCAAATTTAGGAATAGTTCTGGCTGCCTGGGTCTGCTTTTCTTTACCTTTCATTTTTCACTTTTCACATTTTAACTAGTGGGAGGTTTGATGGCGATTCTCCCCAGTTTACTGCGAATATTTGCATACTGAGAGCAGCCTGCACAGTGAGTCTTAAGGCAGGCTCTTTTCCATAGTGGCCACCACAAGATGGCAGGAGAAAACACTGGTCCCTGTCCCCTCTAACCTAGGCACACAGGCCAGGCTTAATTCTGGGAATTCTGGAAGTTCCCAAGGCCATTAAAAAAAGGCAGCAAGTTTAAAAGAATAGTGTCTGACCCCTTAGTGCAGTTCCTTTTGCAAAGAGGTGCTGTAAATGCTCTTGGCACTTTGCTGAGAATTGCCTGGCTTGCATGCATGACAGAGCCCTTGAATCGGTTAGCCCGGCGCCACCAGCACACATCTGGCACTGAGATTCTTCATGATTATGCATCAACAAAGTTACAAAGCAAGATTTAAATATTTCTACTTCTGCCTCAAATGCCAGGACGTCTGGGCAGCCTCCTCACAGGAAGTGAACCTGTGCAAGCCATGGTCAAAGATTTACACGTCTTGCCGTGTGTTTTGCAATTATGCATCAGCTGTTCTACCAAAAGCTCCAACCAAGATCCAGTCAGCTCCTTTGCCTGGCTTTCCTAATCAGAACTCCATGTCTAGCAAGGGCGTGCAGGATCTTAAGCTCATTCAGACTGCTTAGTCATGAGTTTGTGTGCTTTGATCAAAGAGAGGGAATAGGAATCGAGCTCCCCAACTTTGCCTAAATATCTGGCACCAGTAGCATGCTACAGCTTTATAGTTTCACCAGGAAAATAAAACTTCATCAAAGCAAAAATGAATACAAACTGCCACTGACTGCTGGGAGGAATATCCAGGCTCTGTCAGGCTCTTTGTGCCTCGTTCAGCTGACATGCCTTGTATTCTCTACAGTTATTTTGTGGCTGAATCCGTGTCCCCGCAGGCTTGCTTTCTTGGCACATTATGAGCTGTTTGGCTGGGATGAAGGTAGCTGTGTCTGTTCCCATTGCCATAAATACTTTTATAGCCACGCTGTGACATTTGGTCTGGGTACCATGCTGGGGTCTGGAAGGGAAAGTGTTCTGCCAAAATCTTCAAAAAAGATGTTTCTTCATCTTAATACTGGTTTTAGCTCATAGCTGTGCCTTTTTTTTTTTTTTTTTTTTTTTTTTCCCTTTGGTTATTTAGCTATTGATTTTTCTAACCATTATATTGCTTCTCAGCTCTTGAAGGATAACTAGCATGATAGGGTTCAATTAATTTTAAAAGTGGCTGTTCCAGATCTGGCCAATTTCTGGTTTTGGTGTTTTGTTGTGTGAGTCTGTTTTTGTGTTTTTTGTTTTTTTTTTTTTTTTTTCTTCCTGTTTTTATTGGCTTTTTTTCTTTTTTTCCCTCAAGAAATCAGGTTTTTATATTTATCTGCTCATGCATTACATCCCTTGCTTTGGCAAAGACGATGAGGAGGGTGGTTTTTTTTATTATTATTTTTATTGCAGGATCAGTGTTCCAGTTTCTCAGATAAAGGAAATCCAATGGTGATGAATGCTATTGGATTTCTTCTAATAGACTTCTTCCTTGCAGCGCTGTCATATAACTTACTGAGGATGGATAGTCATGGCCTGCAGACGATGCTTTCTATTTATTGAACAGTGATGGCAGAAGCCTTTCCTTCTGCACTTTTCACAAAGGAAGCTCTCTGTCTTGGCCCCCTGGGTGTGGGTGCTGGAATCTTTGGATGGCTCCAGCTATCCCTGCCATGCTCCAGGAGAGGGCACCAGTCCCACGCTCACATTTATTGAGCGAACTCCAAAGCATCCCTGGCTGACCCGTGTGCAGGGATACACGTACACGCTACGAGCTGGCCAAATGCAGCCTCTGCTTTTCCAGGTCTCAGCCTTGCAGCCAGGATGAGCCGAGTGTCTGCCTGAGCTCCTGCGGTGCCCCTCTTGCTGTTCGTTTCTTTGTCAAATAACACCTATGCACTTTGCTTCAACAAGTTAAGTGTGAGATTCAGACTGCTGAAGATGGTCAGAGCATTTTGCTGAGTGTAAACCTTGGCTTGTGAAGCAGCTAGAGAAGGAAGAGGTCTCTGAGGGGTTCACTGAATCCCAGAACCCAGGGAAGCAGCTCGCTCTTTCCTTCCAGCTGAGTTTGCTCACATTCCTGGCTAAGCTGGAAGAAAAGCTGCTGCTCTGGGTTAATGTATCCTGGTGAAGAAAATGGGTACTGTAGAAAATGAGAGCACATGGAACTATTCCATTCTTGTTCCCAAAGGTGTAAGTGGTAGCACGGGTAAATACAGCGCAGCGCTGGTTTCTGCTCTCAGCTGGGCTTCTGTTGCTGCTCTTTTAAGTCTGACAAGTGCAAAACTGCTCTGCAGGTCTTTGCAGCTGGTTTCAAACCAAACTCTAGCACAGCACAGCTGCCTTATGCTCCTCCACCCTCCCACAGGCAGCCCCAGTACTGAGGCTGGCCCCAAACGTAGCGTACATTTTAGGGAGAGCTCTTGCCTCCTTTGAACCAATCTTGCAGACGCTGACAAAGCCAGCTCACCTACCTGAGAGCAGAGGTCACTGCTCGGGGAGATCTTTGTAGCCCTCACCTCAGAGCAACTGAGACTGGGCAGTGGAAGAGTGATGTGAGCAGATGTGACTTCAGGGCCAGAGCACCCTGTGGCTTGTCTGAGCCAGGCTGAAGCTTTGCTGCTTGGGCACGTCAGCGTGGTCTGAGTCCGGCTAAGTGCGATGCATCCCTTGTGTTTGCTGCAGGTGCAATCCCCTCGTCAACCTCAACTATGCTGTCCTGCTGTATAACCAGGGGGACAAGAAGGGAGCCCTCTGCCAGTACCAGGAGATGGAGAAGAAGGTCAATGCGATGAAGGAGAGCAGCACTCTTGACTTTGACCCTGAGGTAGGTGCTTACAAGTTGTCAGCAGGAGCTAGATAGCCACATTAAGACTCGCAACAAACAAGGAGAAAATTTGACTTTTGAGTCCAATTATTAGGAAGAAATTCTGCTTATGAGATTTTCTGAGCAGAGCAGTCGCCTGCTGAGAGCTGCTTACTTCTTTTCTGCTCTTTGAAGCCCAGTTCTTCAATCAATACACAGCAAGACAAGATTCCCTCTTAATTAAGGGAATGAATTAGCGGAGATGTTTCCCTTGAGCACCAAGGCAGTTGCCAGCTCTGCACAGCTCTATTTCTTTGTTGACTTTATTGTTGTCTGAAGTATTCCTGTTTACAAGGGTCTCCTCTCTTTGTTTCTCGAGAAGATGGTGGAGGTTGCCCAGAAGATGGGAGCTGCCCTGCAGGTCGGGGAGAGCCTGCTCTGGACTAAGCCTGCTAAAGAGTCTAAATCCAAGCAGCGAGCTGCTCCATCAGGGAAATCCTCCAGCACTCAGCAGCCCTTGGGCTCTAACCAGGCCCTGGGTCAAGCCATGTCCTCGGCTGCTGGGTATGGGAAAAGCATGCAGCTTCCACCAGGTACCTCTCCTTTGCACCTCTGCAAAGTGGAACTGTGGGAGGGGAGAAGCCTCTGTCCCTTTGGGTATGGAGTTACAACATGTGTTTAGGAGGATATTTACTCGCATACAGAGCTCCATTCAGATATATTCAGCCTTAGAAGACTTAGGCTGATAGCTGCATGTGTTGCTTCTTGCTGGGGGCTTGGTGGGGGCATCTCCATTGCCTATGGCCTGACCTGCTCTCGCCCCTTGGCTCCTAAGGAGGAATGCACTCAGGATACTGCTGATTGTGGTGATTTTCTGTCACTGTTAAGTTTTGTTTCCTGTGGGTTGGAACAGGAAGGAGGTTGTGTAACCTAGGCCTCTTTCCTTGGCACCCCTGAGGACCCATTCCTCACACATGGAACAAACTTTCCATGCATGAAAGATTTGGAGGCTGAAAAATAAAAACATACAGGAGTTTGGGGCTTACCTGAAGGACTTTATCACCTATGTCAGAGGAGCTGGTTCATAACATTATCTGTTGGCCTAAGTATGTACAGATACAACTGCAGCGTGGCAGTATCCTGTTTTGATTTTATTCTGTAAGGAGCTACATTAACTGCCTGGAAACTCTTCCTGAGATTGCTAAAACTGTGAACTGAAAGCTACGCTGTGGTTTTGGTTCCAGTTTGAGTATAAACCAGCCTTAGTGGGACAATTTTCCCTTCCAAAGCACAACTTAATTCCTAAGTTCCTGCTGACTTCTCACAGCAGCCTAACCGAATGAGACAGTGTGCCTCAGCTGCTTTTCAGCAGAACCCCAAGTTCTGTAAGGTCTCTGGCTGAATAGCTCACAAAATAATTGAGTGCTGCTGATAAGCTAATGCTAGACAGAAGAAATCTGAGAACAAAAAATAGCTGTGATTGTTTTGCATCTCCATCCTGCTTGGAGGGGTAAAAGAACAGACAAAACACACAGTTGTTCTGTAATTGTGTTCTCTCCCCAGGTGCTGGAGCATCAGCTCCTCTTGCAAAGCCTCCCTCGCTGCCCCTGGAACCAGAACCGGGCTCAGAACCGGGCCCTGAGGAGACCACAGCACCAACAGAGGTCGAGGAACAACGGAAAGAGAAGCGCAGGAGCCGGCAGGCAGAGGACTAGAACAGACTCTGGTCAGCACGGGCAGGTGTGGGGACATCTGCAGTGCTGCCTGCTGACCTGTGGGGAAGAGGACCTGCCCTCTCCCCTGACCCACGGTGGCTTCACCCCACTGTCAGTTAGGCTAAATGCAGCTGGTTTTGGTTAATGATTTTAGCATGTGCTCTCTGCCTTGTCCCAAGGAGTAGTTGCAGCGGTCAGAAGCGGTTCCCATGTAGCTACTGTTAGCGTGGTCACACCTTACTGCAAGAGGCTGGAGGATGGAGACCTGATGGGGTTGGATGTCTTCAGTGTTCATCTCTAAGTCCTCCAGAAGGGTGCTGAGGCATCCAGTAAGTTTAGAAAAGCCAGCAGTAGTGACTTAGCATCCTGGAAAACAAGAACCCAAAGAGGATCAACCCCTTCTGGTGGCTGAACTTGTAAGCTGAAGAAGCCCTGCATGAGCCATAGTAAGGTCAGTGGTAGTGCACTTGGAGAAGGGGTGAAGGCGAAACACCTCACCAGGGTGATCACAGAGCTGTGAGCCTGGCTTGGGCCTGGCACAGCCTGGATCCTGGCAGGGACGTGCTCGTCACTCCTGGTTTCACAAAGGCAAGACTTCCTAAATGCTTTCTCAAGGCTGGGCCAAGGAGGTTGCTCAGGCAGGGAGCTGAGCTGGGAGCTCTCATTCCTTGGCAGGGCCATGTGGTGGCCATGGAGTACACGAGCGCACCCTTTCTGTAGTGGTGACAGCTGCGTGGCAAAGCCGAGCTGGTTGGTCTTGAGGCAGTCGCTCTGTTAATGTGGCAGCACGAGTGTAAGCCAGCTGAGCCACCTCCTTTAGGACCATGGTCCCATTCCGATGCCAAGATCACTCTGTGTATTTCTTGAATCCAACAGGAGAAAATCTATTTGAAAGCATGTGTGGTAGCTAACAACAGCCAAAGAAAACTGTAGAGCTGGGTGAGAGCAAGGCAGGTGCTCAGGGGCCAGCTATTCTGGAAGCAGGCTAGCTGCAGCAGCACAAAAGTCTGCCAGAACCAAATTCCTAATTGTTTGCCGAGAAACAGGGTGAATGAGCCTCAGTGAAGCTCTGTGTTCATGTGATTGGAGTTCTTCCTTTAGAATTAGCGTTGCCCAGCATGGGGGAAAGATTGGTTCACAGGAAAAAAAAGATCCTTTCTGAAAAGGCTTGCCATGGTCAGCCTCAACACTAAATTTAAATTGTTTTAGTATGACAGCAGCTGTGCTCTGAATAACTCAGTTATGCCCTCCTTACAGGAGCATTCAGGAGAAATCATTTCTGCTAGGTTCCAGAAGGCAAAGCAGCCTCTTGGTGAGCGGAGCAAGGAATTTTAATGCCCATGTGATACTTGAGATGCTTTGAAAGTGTTTTTATCCTTGAACAGAAAAACCTTAGCCTTCCTTTCTCTGCTCCTGTCAGCTTTTTTGCCCCTGGGATTTATCCAGAGCTTGATACAGGTCCTCAAAGCAACTGGTTTGGGGAGTTAAGGCAGGACCATCATGCTTTACAGAAAGAACCAGTAACTGGGTTAAGTACATCTGCTTTTTCGTCTTCTTCCCCATTAGTGTGCAGAGAAGTGCACAGAGCTGATGTTGCTGTGGGACTTCTGATCTGAGTTCTCTAAGCAGGATGTCTAGCACTTGTCCAAAGCAGCTGAAGCTTCAGGCTCAGCCTATTTGCTGTTTGGGCTGCTGAGCTGCTTAAAATATATTCCTGCTTTTTGTTCTGCACCACTGCATTCTATCGCTCCGTAATCAACAAGTCCGATAGGGCAAGGTTAGTAATGGAAACTTCTCTGCAGCAACTTGTAGCAGCAGCCTGAGGAAGGCCCTGGATGCATTAACATCCTTCAGCAGTGCTTTCTGGTTAGCTGCTATTATCCAGAGTGACGTTAATGCATCTTTAGAGTGCAGCTGGGAACTGAAGTGCTATCCTGCTCCCCAGGGGCCACTAAAAGAGTAGGAACCCTTCACTTTCTCTCTTTTGATTGCCAAAATCGCTGGCTTATCTCAAACGTGGCTTTTTCCACCTCTCCTCTACGGGCTGGTTTTGAATTGGTGCAGCCCTGGGGTAGCACCGTGGTGAGGTTTTCATCATGCTGAAGAAATCACAGGTTCTTCTGTGGAGCGCTGGCAAATTTAAACAAACCAGACAAGAAGCAGCATAAACCAGGTACAGTGCAGTGATTTTATTCACATTAAACTTTTTACACTGAAAGTTACTGCAGCCTAACTGTAGCTGTGAAGAAGTTAAGATCACAGAGCAAGGGTAGGCAGGGTGTGGAAACTTTATCTCACCCCAGAACTCTAGTTCAAGACATTTTTTCCTGTGGCAGTTGCTCATTGTAATCATTTGGTCTTACCATGAGGGCTCGCAAGCTGTGGAAGTTTCAGTGACCTGAACACAGCACTTACAGGCACGCGCTCACCAGCACTGCTGATAGCAGAAGGTTTTCCCTCCAGCTGCTCGATTCCCTTGTTTTCATGTCACCAGTTGCTTTCCCCTGCCTTCTGCCAGTTGTACACGGGGTAAGTTAACTTCAGGACTGCAGCATCACGAAACCAACCAGCTACGTGCAACAGCCCTTGGCCCACAGGTGCTGTGGGAACCAGAAGGGCCGAGCAAGAATTGGAGCAGGTTCTTTTCTCACCCGGTCCCACTGGTGCAACCTGTTAGCTTCTGGGCTGCTTTTTAGGGTAATTGTTACGTGTCACTACCGAGGGGGTGCTGCATGGGGAGGTGCTGTCAAGGTATTTAAAATACACCGTCTGGTAAAAAGCTTACGCAGATGATTAACTCTCCTTCTGTGAAAAGAAAAGGTAGCACCTTGTTCTTTCCAGATTTCAGCAAAGCAGAAGGGAGCTTCACATCTAAGGAAGTGTTTTTAAATCTGCAATTACAGTTGGATAATAAATAAAACTGCAGTTCCTTGTCCCGTCTCCTCTCCGCCTCCTGGGTACTGTGATGACAGCATTTGCATGCCGTAAATTTGCAGTATCTTTATGGAGAGTTTTTTTATGCTATCTATTGATTAGAATGAGGCTGGACTGCTCTTTCAATTGAAATTAAGCAAGGGAGTTTTCAGCAGGACTGTACAAAGTCATTTAGGGATTTTGGAAATCACACCTTATGTTCCAAAACCTGCTTCTGGCATCAGCCATAATTCTAATTTTCTGTTTTTTCCCCTGTAATTGAAAACTTAAGATGGAAAGTAATAATGAGCTTAATTTCTAGGGAAGCAGAAACCACCTGCTTTAGGACATTTTGTTTCCCTTTTCAGGAAAAAAAAAGTGTTACAATTAGCCAGGTTAAATCAAACTGCTTACAAGGTAGACTGCAGACTGACTTCGTGACAGGAACAATTCTAGAAGACAGTTAAAAAATAAAAGCCTGGACAGCAAGACCTTGTTTCAGCCAGGAATAATTATCTACCCATCCAGCAACTTGCATTAAACCCAAACAACTCTGATTCTGAAATCCCTGAGACAACTGGATGCTGGCTGATACGCTGTTACCGTGTACTCGCTGGATTCCTGTATGGCCTGGTTTGCCCAGCTGTGGTCACTGACAGACAATAATGGCAAGAGCCTGGGTCCTACTCTAACGTGCCGTTCTTGCATAAAACACCTAAAATTTAGACTTCCCTGTTGGGAAGTGGCAAAGTCTTTTCTACAGAGGCAGACAAACCTCAGGGGAATGAAGAATAATGAGCCTTATTAAAATAATAAGCTCCACACCTATATACGCTACAAGAAAGCGCATAGTATTACAAGTACTTCATCTGTCAAGACTGGTTTCTGTAACAGAAAACAGCTGTGCTACAAGGAAAGCTGTACCACTCTCTCAAACTAAACTGCACACAAAAAAATCAGTGTTTTCTGCAGGGGTTCTTAATGAGAGATGCAGGTGAGATTTGAATCCAGTTTTAACCAGGCTGCACTGTACAAGGAGCAGCTTTCCTGAGACATTCACAGGTGAGGTTTTCAGGTTTTTTTTGTTGTTGTTGTTTCCTCCACTTGCATTTTAATGAGATTATTCACCTTTAGCTGCCAGTATTTGTATTCTTCAGCTGCTATGCGCCCAGCAAAGGCTGATACCAGGTTCAGTTTTCAAAGCGACAGGGAGCCGTTTGGAACCTCCGCCTTTCCCAGCTTCTGGCACAGGAGGGAGTGGCTGTGCCTGCTATTTCCACCCTGCGTTTGTTCCCCTTGCTGAAAGGACATCATACCACAAGAGTCTGGATCGATAACTCCCTGAGAATTCAGTTTGGTCAGGGCGTAGGATCCACCTGAGATTATTATGCAAGAAACTGCTCCATCTGCTGTGGAACAGAGCTTCATCTGGCATCTGAACAGACAGGAGAGCAGTCACTCCTGGGTCTACAACAGTTTGGCTAAAGAGCTCATCACTCAGTGGTGCTGAGGAAAACAGGCCTGAGAGCAGACCAGGGGGTAAAGAGAATGCGTTGCAAATAGGTTTGCTCTGCCTCTTAGCAGCCAAATTTTAAAAACAAAAAGCAAAGACAAACTTCAGCATTCCCATTTCTCTGATCTCCTCATTGCTGCCTGAATGTGGAACGTGAGGTGGTAGTTGTTGTGGCTTCTGCTCTAGCTCGTTTTAACCAATGAGTCTATAGACACTTATTTATTTATTTCCCCTCAAAATGAAACTACTACTTTGCTGTGATCACAGGTTTAAAACCTAACTGTGTGCTTTTACCAAAACACAAATTGCACTGGAGAACAGCACAATTAATATGAGTTGAAACGTTCACTTTTAATGCAGAACATAACAACCCAACTAATGCTATAAAAATGTAAATTTGGTATTTCCTCCGTTTTTATACTGTTCTTTCAAATGTACTCATCAACTCGATGAGTTTCCTTACACCAGAAATAGTAACGCACATGGTGTGACATGAACGCTTGCCGGGACTGCTCCAGAACAGCTTGCTCTGAGCACGTGTACCCGCAGCCAGTGCCGAGTACCCGTGCAGGCAGCATAGCTGCTCACTAGTCCACTCCATCAGCTTCTACCTAGCTGCAAGCTCCAGCATGGAGCCCAACAGCACGATGTCTGAAGAGCTTTTGGGGTACCTGCAATGCTGCACATGTCCTCGGAACCCTCTCACAGAAGCTGTTCCCCAGTTTTCCTTTTCAGTTCTCAGAGCATGGCTGATCACGCTGCTGTGGCACATCATTCCTGGCGATTCAGTCCAGGATTAGAGAGTAAGAAAAAAAGCCAGCCACCAGTAGCACCAGCAGACTTCACAGCTTAAGATCTTTTATTTCTGTTGTTGTTGGGAGGTGGCTACAAAAAGCCTTAGGCTAGCCTGTCTTGAAATAGATATGGGCAGAAAATACCTGATGGCAAAGACCTACACACTGCTGGCATTGTCCATTAGGCTCTGGAGGCAGATCTGTCCCTGCTGCTGTCCAAGCCTGGGATTCCAGTAGCTGAGAAGTGGAGCCAGGCTCTACAGAAAGCTCTAACCGTATTCGGGCAGTTGATGTGGACTTTGCTAGAGACAAGGCATAAAAGCTAAGGAAGAAAACATCACCATCATTTCTGTAAGAGGAACTCACACAAAAGAGCAAATGTAACCGGATCTTATGTAGCACAACAGGAGATAACCAAGAAACACAAAAGCAAAGAAAATCAAGGAATTCCTTAGCAGTGCTGTGAAACACCAAAGAGCATTTAAACTGGCAAGAGTGGGGTTTGGGATAGGCTCTTCCGTGGCCAGGGAGCAACCACATGGCACCATGGGCACAGTGGAGAAGCAACGTCCCTGCTGAGGGACGTTGAACCTTCCTGAGCTTCACGCACCTCAGGTAACCTGCCACCTGGCCTTCAGGAGGCAACGTCATGGAACGTGCCGACACCTTCCATTTGAAGGAAGATGGGAACCACTGCTTGGTTTTGGTCAAGGGTAAGTGAAAGAAAAAAAAAAATGCAAATGGCTGCACTGGCTACAGGCACTCAGAGGTGGAAATACCAACACACACCAGTTCTATCAGTTGGAGAGCCACTGATTTACTGCCACAGTGATGAGCTCATGTATTGCGTCTTCAGCAAACTATGTGCAAATAAACATTTCCAGTGCATTTCCAAAGGAAACCCTTCTGCTGGGGAGTACAAGGCTAGCTGAGGTTTGAGTCAGCCATCACTGGATTTCAAGGTATGAGGAGGGCATGAGAACACAGAGTAAGGGGGCATCCTTTCAAGACTGGTTTTGACACTTGGGTATTATTGCAACTTTTCTGATTTTTCAGTAATCAAGTAAGTGAATTTGTGGATAATCTCTTGCCTACCAAGGACTTTTGGATTTTACAAGAAAAAACAACCACACGCATGCATAGATCACAGGACCCCTTTCTAAGCATTAAGTACTCATAAGAAAACAGGATACATGGTTTTAAGATGTGCTCCAGCTGTTTTTCGTGGGAAAAAAAAATACAAAAACTAAAGCCCCAGGAACTAAAAGCAACAGTATTGCAATGGGGATAGTAAAAATAGCAGCCTGGGGGACAAGTTCCAACCCCCCAGTGAAAGGTATTTCACTATTTTTTTCTGTACACAGACTAAAAACCCACTATTTCCATTTCTGTTGTTCAGCAAGATCTGTTCAAGCAGCTTTCCTTTGTTGTCTCTGTTGCTGCTGTGCAGAGGTGTGGGACAAACAGGTTTCAGGAATCTGCAAGCCTTGCTGCAATTAAGTTTGGGAGGCAGAGGGAAGTTAAGCAGATCAAATTCACAGCATGTGAAATGTGAAGCGTAGACAGCCTGCCATTCGATTCAGTTTTATTATCATATAGATTGTTTCAAAACATAATCAGGGATAGCGAGGGCCTATCTGATTAACGGGTCACGCTTGTTACGAATTACCCTGGGTAAGTGAATCTGGTGACCAGGCGAGCTGGCAGCGAGATGCCTGATCAAAGCAGATACTCGGGCAGAGCTGCAGCCCCGCCAGGCTCGCAGCACAACAACCACAGGCCAAAGGCGAGGCAGAAACAGTACCTGTTGAGAAAGAACAGAGCAATAGGAGGAAGTTCAGAGGCATTGCTTCATGGTTAGGTTTTTTAGGCCCCGATGAATTCTTAAGCAATAACTGCCTTTTTCATACTTACTTACAGCAGTTATTTATTCAAATTAGTTTTTAAAAAGAGACTGGATTTAAGTCTGTAACATTCATTTTAGTGTAAACATGCCTTACCCTTGGGACAAGTTCTGGTGGCGCAGTTACCTGATTTTAAATGGCCAAAAGACAATCACAGCCCAACTGGCCTCGTATCTCAGCAAATGCTTTTGGAAGAGAGAAGGGAAACAGAGCAGCAGGACCACTGCTCATGACAGCTTGTGTGTATTTAGTTTTGTTTCGTTTCCAACCCAAGAATCCACACAGCTTGGCCCGACGTCAGGAAAGTGGGACCTATCGTAAGCAAAGGATTACTTCTCCAGCTGGCAGGATGCATGGCCACTGGTGGTCCCAGCGGTGTTGTACCAGAAGGCTCTGATCAAAGGTTGCAAATAACCCTGCTAATGGCCTCAGACCTTTTAGATGGCTGAAAGGAGAAAATTTTTATTTGTTTTTTCTGTAGGAAGACTAAACCAGAACTCTAAGTTCCATGCTACAATTTATAAATTAAAACAAAACAAAGCACCAACAAAAAATAGAAAGCCTTTCAGTCTTAAGAAGATCCTGCATTGCGATAAATACTGAGACTTGGTGGAAGACCAGGATGGGATAAGCTACAGGAGAGCACAGCGCTGCCTGTATTTCTCCTCTGGTGCAACACTTAAGACTTTCCTCAGAGGGAAAGGAGAAGTTAAATACACATTGACAGACAGCATTTTTGTTGAGTCAGTACAAGTTACAACAGCTGTCAATTTTTATCCTTACAGAGCATTCACAATGGCATTTTCCACCAGGAGAACATCACTGACGGCAATGTGACAGCCCTGCTGAAAGAGATCAGGCCAGCCTAATGGGTAATGTTTTCTCCTCCCCACTGCTGAGATGCAAAGGCTGACCAAAAGTGACCCCTTACAAATTCTGGTACAGTGCAGACTTGCATAGACACGCTGATTGCATTTAATTCAGTTACACTGAAAAAAAAAAAAAGTGTATGATTGCTATGGGAATGGGCTTGAAGATCCTGGAAACGGACAGAGACAAAACCATGCTGGAAAAGAGACAAAAGAACACTGGTGCTGTGCAATCAATGGTGTGCTGCTACCTAGAGGTAAAAAATACATAAACGAAGTATTTAACAAACTTTCTCAACTAGCAAGGCAATGGTAGTAGATGATTTGACTCCTCTGTTTTTATTTTCAAAGGCTGTCCACAGCAAAGACAGCCTAGTGACTTAGTCACAGTAAATAAAAAGCTCCTCACATCTGTCTTACCTGTTGCAGCATTTGAGCCTCCAGAGCTCCAGAGGGCCCTTCCCTAATAATTTAACCCTTCTGAACGGAAGGCAGGGAGATGAAAGATTGCGCATCAGTTCTCAGACAAAACAAAAGAAAAAGTCTCTATCACTCAATAGCTTTTCCGTCAGCTGGAAAATACCAGACATAAGCACCTGCCATTAGCAAAGAAAGCAAGCTGTGAGCCCCCCTGGCTGAAACCCTTGGCATGTAGTGGTCAGCAGACGCAGGGAACGTTTTGTGATTTACCTGGCAATAAAATAAAGCTGTGTTCCCAAATAAAAACCCTGACTATCTTCACTTTTAGTTGCCCCCAAACTAAATGCAGGCAACTAGGACTCAGTTGAATACCAATAATCACAGAGACAAGAGACCCAAAATCACCTACGCTGCCTTGAGTCTGGTTTCCTCTGTGCACGTGGGGAGGAGGTACAGCGTGCGTCACATTTCAGGGCTGCGGCTCCCTCCAGCTCGAGGGGCGCTGAGGTTGAGAGGTAATTTTGTCAGTAACAGATTTCATCATCGCACCAAGCAAACGCAAGGCTTGCTCTTGCCATGTAGCAATGTGCTGAGAGGAGATAATGCAAGAGCCTTTTATTTTTACTTTATCAGAAGCAAGGCAGGGCCAAGCACTGCTGTGCTCAGCCTGGGATCCACACACACAAAATTCTCCTGGCTGTAGCACTTTTCCAGCACTAACAGACAAGACCCACAGAGCAAACCTACTCCAGACAGGGATTTTGGCATTTGTTTCCCTCCCCGCATGCTTAAGACAAAGAAAAACCAATTTTCACATTAAATACTAAAACCTCTGCACTCCAACGTGAAATGTTTTAGTCGCTGCAAAGTGACTGGAATGTATCTGACAGTTTATACCTGGAATTATTCTTTGGCTCTTTTACAGTTATGTCCAGAAAACATAGCACACCCTGATTCTGTTCCTATATCACCACTGCCTGAAATCCTAATGAGAAGAGCATGATTCCTCAGACACCATACAGTACTGGAGACAAAGGAGGGCCTTGGTCTCCTACTGAGGATACACTTCTGAATATAGCAGTCCTTCAGCTGAAATAGCATCCCCGAGTCCCACGGTCCGGACAGGATCCTTACACACCAAAACGGGTGTGAAGTGGAATGAGATGCCTTCTCTGTGCCAATGCACTACTGGCTCATCTGGATTTAAGGATATTTTGGAAGGTGCCTCTATCTGGGAGGTCACAAACTCCAGAGGAGCCTTCAGAAAGACTTTGCTGGTGTCGATGGTTTCAGTCGCGCAAGCCTGAGCCCCTGCAGCTCTAGCTCCAGCAGCCACGGCAGCAACCTGGTTGCCCCAGAACCCATCCACCGTGGCAAGGATGTGGTAGGCCAGGGTGTGGAAGTGGATGCGTGTGAGATCAGAGGCCCGGTCTGCGGTCTTCCCGTGCTCCTTCAGGACCCAGAAGAGGATGTCGCTGACTACGCCCACATCAGGGATGCCGTTCCAGGAAGCAAGGGAGGCGTGGGGACCAGAGGCTGACTGCGTGAGGAAGAGCAGCTCCTGCTCGTTCAGCCCGATGGAGTTTACGAGGGGAAAGACCTGCTAACAGGAACAAGAGTTCTTCCTTCAGAGACAGATCGGACTTCTGGGTTCTCCTTCACGGTACTGTTTTTACCGAAGTGCATCACAGCCTGCTGGCTATTTCTGAAATTCTTTTTCTAGAGGTGCACTTTGACATTAAAGAGCAACAGAACATCACATCCACATGAAACATAATGCTGAGATTAGAGCTGTGTCAACTTAAACATTGGGATTTGCAGGAAAGAAATACTGCAAAAACCCTGAATTGATGATCAATCAAAAGCTTTTTAAGATACCTCCTATGTGAAACCTCACAATCAGACCTTTCTATCCTCTGAGCTAAAGAAAACAAATCTGGCCTCTGCTAGGCCACAAGTCATTGCAGTTCTCTGCTGCCCAGAGGAGAGTGGTAAGCTCAGTAAAGAAAATCTGTTCAGAATGCAACAGCAGACATTAAATCCATGTTTTCAATTTTAATAATGATAAACCTCATTTTATTTTTTTTTATTTCTGTATTTATCTATCAGTCTGCGCATTGTAATACTAAAGAAAAGGAAACTGATGAAAAGAGCACATCCTTTTTGTTACCTGATGCACAATGTTGCTCATAAAATCCTGGTCAGTCATACTGGCCAACTCCAGATGTATTGGAATGTCAGTAGGGATGTCAGAGATGGAGGCCACAGCCTGCAGGGGTAGAGGAAAAGGTGAAAAACAACACCTAAAACGTGTTTTAAAAGAAACAGAAGGAACGAAGGTTTGCATACTGTGGGAAACAGGAAGATGCACCTTATTACAAGTTCAAGCCTGGGAAGCTCAGAGTTTGCTATGGAGCATTTGTTGGGATGGAAATGAAGGAGATCTAAGTATCTTACCTCCATTAGTCGTCTGTGTCGCATCTCCTTGCTCTGGCCTTCCATCATGTGAAGTCCTGAGAGCACCACAAGATCTGGCTGAAATTCATCCAAGCTGGACACGAACACTTCCAGCATATTTAAGGCGCCGTTTGATAGGTCGTGGGAGAAGATAAAGCGGTTGGCATTGGGCGCTTTCACCTGTCCCCACTCTTCACCTAGGGCAAAGCAAAGAGGAGCAAACCAACTCAGAAGAGAAGCCAATCAAACCACTTATCTACAGATTATTTTGGGATATCCTGCTGGAATCTGAAGGCATGGTTTCATACCATGACTGCACCCAATTAACAGCTATTGGCAGCAGAATTATACCCCCAGGTCTGCTTAGGATATATACCACAAAACAAAAAGTATACCTGGTTTTTATAGGCCACAGTGCACAAGAATACAGAACCAAGAGGATGGCAGCACAGCAGCATAAGTCAGTATTTACAGTAACTGCATTACAAAGGAATAAAGTTTCAAAGGAGTTTAAGATGTTTGCTCACCTACCACAGCTCCCTGCAGCGCACAGAATTACCAGATTAGCCCAGTGACAGCTGCCACTACTGATAACTTACACAGTCCTTTTAACCAATTCAAAAAAAAAGAAAACTGTAAACCCAGGAATCTCTTAGTGATGATCAGGGTTCCATCCAACATTCAGCCTTTGGCACGGTACCTGCTTGATACTCCAAGATGAGATGGAATTCATCTCTTTCCTGCATGGATTCAGGTGGCACAACCACATTGTCATCAAGCAGTTCGTGGAGCTTGGGACCAACTGGGCCACAAAGGAGGATCTAGAAAACAATGAAAACAATCAAGGATCCCCTGCCATGTCCCCTGCCAGCATTTCAGTGCTATCTGAAATGTAAAAGTAGCCATCTCATTTTGTGTGAAGCCATTCTATGCATGCGTTAGTCACGCATTTCATCTCTTCCCAGTAGTTGCTGATGAGCAAGATAGTTCTCATACAGGAAAATATTTCCTTTCAGGATTTGTTATGCACGGTACAGAAATACATAAGCCATCGCAGCTTTAGAACCAAACTCTCTTTACTCTTGCAAGCTCACTGGAAGATGGAGGACCTTACACTAGTCTGTTTCCAACAATTTGGCCTCCACATGAACATTTGAAAAGAAGCCACCTTTATTAAATAAGCAAAAATTAAGAGGGTCAGCACAGCACTGGGATCCATATTTGTTTTATTAGAAAAAGGAGCAGTAAGCTGTAAACCATTACCTAAATAACAGGTTTGAGACTCCTTAAAGCCGAGTGAATAGCGTATAACTTTTGACACACCTACCTTCAGGTCTGGATTTGCTGCAAGCTTCTGACCAATGAGAGCAGCGTTTCCTCCTACGTAAAGCTGTAAAACAGATCAAGGCAGGTATGGGCATTCCCTTGCTTTGATAGCTTTACATGAGCTTAGTCCTTAGTACAGGCTTCAGATTTTAGCTTCTAGAAAGGTTCCAGCATTAGAGAATTTAGGAAAGCTTAGCGGGGATGAAGATAAAACAATTTTACAATTTACTGTGAGATGCCAACAACTTAAGTGTTCTCTTCTTAAAGTCTAAATATTTGCCTTCAGGTAACTGACAGCCCTATGCAAATCAACTGATTTTTAACACTCCCTCCTACTTCAGTGCAGATTTTCTGCACTGGCAATTGGTAACTTTTTTTTTTTTTTTTTTTAAATCAGCAGGCAGACAAGCAGTCATTTGAAAACTACAGTATTTCAGGGTTAAACCTGCCATCTATGCCCACACAAAGCGAGCAGAACTGTGAAAGTTTCTTCAGGTAAGAAAGGTCGAACTTTCAAGTAAGAAAACACCTACGTGAGCTCTGAAACTAAAGAACATAGATCTGTCACGAGGATCACAGGTGCCAAGAGGTGACAGAAAACAAGCTGTAGAAAGATACAGCTGATAATCAAGTGATGCCAGAAAGCCCACATAGCAAACATTGAGAAATAGACCAACACGCAGAAGTCCTGACCAATAAAAGGCCAGATTTTCAAAAGCAGCTGGCAAACTGCATATAAGGCAGCATTAAATAGTCTGTAGAAACGAGCTGTGAAGCAGATATGCAGCTAGATTCAGAAGACCCAGCATAAAGAACTACATACATAGCAACAGAACTTTGCTTTTGCAAAGCAAAGCTTCAGGAAAATCACTGAGTTCTTCTCATCATCCCTACTTCTAGAGAGAATTTAAACCCTGCATTAAGGTCCTAGAGCTGATCAGCATGTTCATAACTTCTCATGTGTGGATTTTTTCCTTACTTCCTCTCTCACTACAAGATGTTAGAGCCTCTTTTACAGCATCAATCCCACCTGGCTCCCATGAAACATGAAAATGTCTTTAGTACTATCCTTACAGAGGTAGTCTTGGGCTGGTATTTCAATTTGGAAAAGGCAAGCAAGGGACAGACCATTCAAAACCTTTCAGTTTGGGACAGGTGCAGAGTTCTGTTCTCTGTTTTTTCCTAAATGATCAGAGCTCTCACTAGACAGAGAACAAGAGTCACCAACGATGCAAGAACTATACTTCTCAAAACCTGTCTTCCCATGGAGGACATACCTGGGCACCTGGGTACTCTGAGGCTGTCCGTGCTATGTGATGGAAAGACTCCGCATCGCTGAAGAAGCGCTCGGCAGCCGCCCCTTTCTCCATGAAGTGCATAAATGCTTCCCTCAGGTCCTGCTGGGAGGCCAGGACGGCGTGGTTTTTTCCATCCCCAGGTTCGAGACCAAGTGCCTCCAGCAACTTCACGCCAGACAGAACCACGTCCACACAGGCGTTGACGCTGAAAGAGAGAAGGAAAATGCACTGCAGGGAAAGCCAGCGTACGTTAGGGCGCCTGGGAGACAATACAATGACTTCACTTCCCAGCCAGTGATGTTTGCTGTTAAATCTGGGCAGCCCTCAGGAAAAACAACCAAGTTAAAAAACAAACAAAACAAAAGAGAAAAAAAACACTGGGATATGAATTTTCTAAATTTTTACTAAAGTGCTCTCTCTTTATTGTGCTCCATCACAGCACTGAAGAGTTGGATTTTGAACATTCCGCTAAATTAAAACAAAGTATAAGTTGTTCATGTTCAAAGGTGGTTGTAAATGTTGTTACATTTTGCACTTTGCTTGCTGTTTAGGCTTGCTCAAAAAAGAGCAGGCACCATAATAATAGCATTTTTAACTTTTAATTCTTAAAATAAAGAAGCTTTTATTGTTCTAGTTCTGGTTTAAAACCTGCAGGCAATTCAGAACTGTTAAAACTGAAAGTATTTCAGCCCACTAGATCAGCCTCTTGAGTTTCAACTACTGCTAATAAAAAGCAAAAGCACATACACAAACACCCTGTACCTGGAGTGATTCTGTTTACAAGAAGTCAAGAGAGCCACTTTTCAGTCAAAACATTCGAAGACTGCAGTTTGAAAAGAACCATCCCCAATTTCCAGGAGTGGCATGTCTCCTTCTCTCAAATGGCAAAGCAGGAGAAAAATCCAGCACCACTTGGGAAATTACAAGAACCATTTTGGCAGATTCAGCCTTAGGTGACATCAGACCTGCTGCTCAAACCTTCAAGTTTTATAAACTTTTTATAAATTAGAGCAATTTAAACACAGTGGAGCCCAAGTCAGAGCAGAGAACAGGAAAGTTTCTGTGCTGGAACCAGGCCTGCAGGAAACATCTTACATGCTCTACTGATGTATTTTAGGGGAAGTTTATAAGTGCTTGCCTTCATTCCTATTCCTTGGTTTCAGAGAGACACTAATATAAACAAAATATTTACTGAGATCACATGAACAATTTCTATAGCATGTTCTGGAACTGCTCTAAGGGCATTTGCTGTTCCTCTGCCCCATGCTTCCATGACAGTGGTCCAAACAACCTATAAAGCCTTCCCAGGATCTTCAGCTTGCTCTGCATCTGTCCACAACACTCCAAATACCAATGTCAGCTCGAACCGCACGGCCTTTCCTCCTCATCGGTGACCTTTCATGCACGACTTGGGCTGCAACACGTGAAGTGTGCATCACACTGAATAAAGGACATTAAAAACCTCAAGGGTTTTCAGTGCACTTTTAACGCAGCTCCTGTTTGATTGGAAATCCGCTGCACTGTGCATCACATACTAAGGGAGAAAAATCCCCTTGCACAGCAGACAAAAAAAAGAAAGAAACAATAATTTTCAACAGCATTTTAGCCACAACCTCACTGCAGCAAAAGGGCAGCAATCTTATGTTTTAATGAATCATTAAAGATGCAAAGGGACAGAAAACAAGTCACAGCTCTTTCAAGTGAGACCCTTCTAATCATCCTCCAGCTGTCTTTCTTCTCCCTCCCTGCCACTCCTCTGCTAACACACTTCTTGCTTTTAATAATCTGCCCTAACAGCAGGGAGATGCTACTAATGAACTTATTTTGCTGTGGAACATTGAGGCCCTGGGCCTTTGGGTTGTGTATCTATTATGTGTATCTAGCTATTTCTATGTATTCAGTCCCTTTAAAGCAAAGAAGAAAGGGCTAAGCTGAAGATAACTGTCTCTTTTCCAATGAGGGCATGGCATAAGACTAAAGGGGACACTAGAAATGTTCTGTATTCAGGGGAGAAAGTTTGCATCGACCATAATGCAAGAGCAAGCCTCCAGCTGATCCCACAGCAGCTATGCAGCCATTACACTGAATACCTTTTTGCAACACTCGGAGGCCAAACCTCGCATCAAAGTCAAGTTATCCCATCACATCCTTTTATTTAAGCCAAAGTGAGTCAAGCGCTATATATATAACAGCGAGATCCATGGCCACGCTTAAACCCAGCTCTGAAGATCCGCCTCAGGAAGATATTCCTGAACTTTCCCCTTACCCTCTTTGCAGCTTAAGAAGAGAGAAGGCGTTGGGTTTCCCCACAGGTACCCTCCCACTTGCTCCTCGCCCTTCCCTCTCCCGTTTTTCCCCTCGGTGCCCCCCCCTCACACGTCCCTGACCTACCCGACGGCGACGCGCGCCCAGCCCCGCGCCGGGCGGACGATGGCCGCCTGCCAGGCCGCCACCATGCGGCTCTCGAGGGAGCCGGCCCGGCGCAGCCCCCCCAGCAGCGAGGCGGGGAGGAGCCGCAGGGCCGAGGGGGGCAGCTGAGGGCCCAGCAGGCACAGGTAGCCCAACGCCAGGGCCAGCAGCCCCACGCACAGCGCCCGCCGCCACATCGCGGCCGCCCCCGCCGCCACGTCTGAGGGGAAGGCGGGCGGGAGGGCAGGCGGGCGGCCGCCCCTCCTTACGCCGCCTCCGTAGCGCCCCGCCTCCGCCCGGCGCCGGCTGCCGTAAAGCCGCTTCGGGAATCGAGGCGGGCCTCACGCCGAGTGCGCAGCCTCTCCTAACGCTGCGCATTTTGCGTACCTCTGGTAGAGCGCTGCGGCGCAGCGGGCGTAGCTGAGCTACGGGAATAGGGCCGGGGGAGCGCCAGCGCGGCGGCGCTTCGTGAGGGGAAATGGCGGGCGTGGGCGGTCCTCGGCCGCCTCAGGGCTGTCTGCGGCTTCCAAAGTTTCTCTGCTCGGCCCCGAGGAGCCTGGCCTCGTTCCCCCAGGTCAGCGGGGAGCAAGCAGTGTGGTATGAGGAACAGGGAGCCTGTTCCCCTTTCCCTCAGTGCCTTCCCAGCACCTGTGTAGCCCCGTGCGCTGTTTCTGCTCTTCGTGTTCATCAACCTGTGTCTCAGCAGCGCAGCTTCTGCTCTCAGCCTCTTTTGTGCCTTCCCCAGGTGAAGTTACTTCAGGTTTGTGCCCACGTTCCTGTGAGGCAGCCTGTGCTGGGTTTAGCAGGGAGCAGTGGGAGGATATCCTTTTGTCTGCCTCAGCCCATCATGCAAGTGTCGTAACAAGTCAGGAGAGAGGCTTTCCTTCCTTTAATTAAAGGGAAACTTTCTAGGTTGCTTTAGATATCACAGAAACGTTTGTTCTAAGGCTTAATGACAAAATTTGCAGGAGTTTGACAACTGTGTGCCACAGTGCGTTGGCTGAGGCAGCTGATAATTTTCCTACTCAGTTCTGTGTTGTGAATGATTGTCACTTTCTTTGACTCTGACAAAACAAACAGTGAAAGAGAGAGGAAGGCTTCTAGATTACAAGATTATTCTTTCTAGATTACAAGCATGGGTATTTGGACAGTGGCTCATCTACTCCTGGCTCATCTCAGTGGCTCACTGCTCTGGCCCTGTGTGGTCACTGGGCTGCCCATCAGGTTGCCTTTCTTGCCTGTCCTTCTCAAAAAGGAGTGACTGCCTCAAGGATTTTGTTCCTGTGATGTTGTTCCTAGGGACAAGTGAAGACAGCGGGCTTGGAGGTGGGCAGGACTGGAATTTGTGAGGGAAAGAGTAAAAATGGGCCTCACCTGGCAGTGGGTGGTGTGCAGGGAAAGTTTTTAAAGAGCCTAGAGCAGCACAATAATGTAGTGAGTTTTAAGAACCATATACTGCAAACAAAGTGGGGGCCTAGCCACCTTCCCCATTGTTCAAGAAATCCTTCAGATGGTTCTTTCTCTTCAAATAGCTACCTGCTTCAGTGCCCCTTAAAAGACTGATAATGGCACTTAGACCTGTGTTCAGCCCATCAATGTTGGTCTGTTAATATGCAAACACTCTTTGCATTTGCTCAGGTGGTCTTAGGGGCTTGTCAGTTGGCTTTTTCATTTGAACAAATTTACTCTTTTTCCCTTTGGCACTTTTCCCACAGATGTTTTATCTGTATGTGATTATGAAATCTCACTTGCTTCCATACTCTTCGAGTCCCTAGGGTATAGGCCTGCAGGGCTCCCACAACCATAAGCAACCCTCCAGTTCAAGCAAGCAGTGCTGTGTTGTTGGAGAACAGAGCAAATACCTGCTGGATCCTCTCGTTGCTCAGTACAATCAGGTCTTCACCTGTGGGAGCACATGTATTTATAGCCTTGTCACAGAACATCATAATTAGACATGCCCATAAGGCAGCTGCGACCCATAACATTGTCACAGCTCAGGGACTCCATTATTAGTACTGTGTCATCAGAGGGTTAGGCTGCAAGCAGATAACCCATCTAATACAGTAGTACTTAAGGGAATTAGCCACGATTCCAATTTGGGGTGATTAGTTTTTGATCTGATGCTAATGCCATGTTCTGCGTTGTTGCCCTGAAGACTAAAGTTGTCTTTTTCACTCCCAGAACAGGTGCAGTTTCCACATCAACAAAATCAAACCTGCTCAGGAGGAACCACTGCTATTTGGTCTGTTTAAACTGCCAGTGTTCACTCTCCATGAATGGTTTTATCGGTGGACTTGAATGAGACTGCAAAGGTAATTGAAAGATTGCTTTGATGACCTTGGTTCTTGTCGACAAAAATAAGGTGTTTTTTCAAAAAAAAAAAAAACAAGAAAAAAAAAAAAGAAAAAAGGCAGTTCCCTTGGAGAACCTGTTCAGTTACAGAGCTAATCTGCAGCTTTTTGGTTTATATTTGTTTTAAGCCAATGCAGATTTATATTTGCCTGTAAGAGCTAAACCAGAAGTGAAAGTGTCATCTGACAAGTGAAATGCATCTCCTTATTTCCTTTCCCCTGAACCACCTAGCATCCTACAAACTTTGGTTGGAGGTAACAGAGAGGGACACAAGGCTGATAGTTTCATATGAGATAACTCAGATTGAGTAAAAAGTATTAATTAAATACCTGTTTAATTAGTTCTGGTTCAGGGCTGTGCCTTATTTCAAAGATGTTACACTGATTTTGAGAGCTTTTGCTGGGGTCCTTTAATAAAACATATGAAGAGAAGGTGAGACTTGGTGGATTTCTAAAGAGTTTAAATCAAAACTCATGGCAACAATTTTCCTTTGCTGCTTCTTCCTGGTTATATGAAGTTCTTTGTAGATCCAATCCTTTTCCTGATGCTGTTTCAGTATATGAGCTGCCTGTGACTTGGAAGGTTGGAAGGGATGTGTCAGGGAGGGTGGGTTTAATCAGTCTTCAGTTATTGGAAACTGAACTTGTTCCCTTTAGCAAAAAAAAAAAAAAAGTGGGGGGGAGGAATGGGACTCTGTCTGCAGGAGGCAGACAAATAAGCAGGAAAATGCTGCTTTTAAAAAATTTGCCGTGGAGAGTTATGCACAGAGCACATGCTCTCAGTAGCCACTCAGGTTCACACATAAAGGTTTGTGAGCTTTTAATGCTGTTAGTGAGTTTGCTTTTCTGATCACAGGCTTGGTTTTGAGAATTGGGGGGTTTGCCAGAAGCTTATTAGACAGGAAGCGAGAGGAAAGGGGATGAAGATGGGCAAGCAGAAGAAATAGCAGGGAGGGGTGAAAGCCTAAGCTTTGAGTTCCCAAAGGAACTACGAAGACCTGTTTTTCTTAGCTTGAACTCACAAGCAATTGTCTTCACTCCTTGTTAAGTTGAATTTGCATATTCAAATGGACTCTCTTCTTTTGACCTACTTTGGCCAGCTTAAATTGTAGGCCTGTGCACAGTGTGGGAAGGGGAGGAGTTTTCCTCGAACTATGAATTCCTTTATTGTTGGTGGGATCGGTCATGCGTATCTGTAATGCCTGGAATTAAATCTTTAGCTGTACCTAATAAACATTAGGCAGCACCCAAGGCGGGATTTGCATTGCAGATGCTTTCAGGGCTGCTCCCTCCTGTGGTATCCAACGCTCCCATGGTATTACTGCCTCTCTCTGAGTTCCCTAGGCTTCGTGAAGTCAATTATTCAGGTGTTGTGTGTCCCACTACCTCTTCTGTGTTCTCTATCAAACCTCTCCCTGAAATCCCACATCCTCCCATCTTTGATTGCAGGCCTTTGATCTGAATTGGAAAGATAGAGTGGCAACCGTGCATCAGTCCCTACTGGTGAAGCTAGTGCAGACATTTCTGATGCTTGCCTGGTGACACATAGTGAGAGCCAGTAGTGGAATTTGGTGGGTGTGACTGGTTGCTGCTGGAGGAATAGGAACAAGTGGCACCCAGGCTTTTTGGATGGGTCCTAATAAAGGCCTGGAAAATTCAGGAGATGGAAATTTGTACTGAGCCCTGCAGATGAGCAGAGGAACTCTAATTAAAATACAGAATCAGTGCTATGCTCAGAAATTGGGCAACATTCCCCATCTCAGCTCTGCCAACATGTCTCAGTCCTGGACTTCAGCACCCACTGCTTCCCTGCTCCGTAAGACACACTCAGCTTGGCCACCGCATCTCAATCTTGATCTGTAACACCTCCTGCTGTTCCAATTCTGGGGCCTTTTTGAGCAGAAAATACCATCTCTCTTCTAAATTGTGCCAAATTGCTTGATTTTGGCCACAGAACTCATTTTCACTTGTCACCTAACGGGATACCTAGAGACTTTCATCTAGCACTGTCAGCGCCAGAGGAAAAAGAACATGTGAATACCCAGCCCCCTGCTAAGTCCCCTAATTATATAGTGATGTGTTAATAACAAACACGCTTTCATGTCTTGGCAGTTGCAAAACACTCATCAGTAGTGCAGTGCTTCAGAACTGGAATCACACAGGAAAGATGCAAGTCCCCATTTAAATTACTTAATTAGTATCAGCATTGTCTGTACCCAGCACTAGGGTCTGGAAGAAGTGCTAGCGTGAAGCTGCCAGATGCCGGTTGTTTGGGTGCTCTGCAGAATCGGAACCACCATGTTAGACACTTGTCATTGCAGAAGTGAGACTTGCTGTGCAGAGCAGCTCTTTTTCTTTGGGGGTGGAACAGCTTCTGTCTTGGCTGGAGCTGGGAGCTTCCAGACCCAGAGTTACGTGCTGCTTTCAGTTTGAGCCAAATTGTTGGTTTTTGCAGTGCTGATTGCTCGCACCCTGTGGTGATGAGCCTGGTTGGCTGCACAACGCCTGGGAGCTGGAGTGAGAGTGAACCTCTGTGTGTGCTGGTGAGCACCCTGAGCCAGTAGGGTTCATGGCAGTGGCTGCCTGAGCTCAGCAACAATTGCTCTGTTTCTGGAACAAATGGCTCAGATCGTCAGAAATGGAGGAATTAAACCCTTTGTCAGAAGGTCTTCTGGAAGCAAGGTAGAAGTCAGAAAACCCAAGGGTGTTAGTGTGGGGGATAACATTCTTGGGGGGGAAAGAGAGGAGGATGACAAAAAGAGGGGCAGCCAGGTGGGAGAGGTTTCCTTTCCAGAAGACGGAGGGACATGGCTGATGGTTGCATCATGTTCCCTTGTGGGTAGAAC